AAATGTTCAATGAAGAGAGATTATATCTTAAGACATAAATAAGGGTAAAACAGTCAAACACCTTTTCTAATTAATGATTTCTTAAGAGACGTATAAATGAAAAACATGACAAGTATTTTGAGACGGAGAAAGTATGAAACAGAAATGTAGGTGTATGAGTAATACTAGTCTTCCTTTTTTCTATAACTAGTATATGGACATGTGCGTTGCACGTGTATTTCATAACGATGAATATGAACTATTAAAAAATCACATAATTTCTTTTAAAATAGTATTTCAGTTACAATAAAAATATGAAAAGTAAAATGATAAATGTTTGTAGTGTATAGTTAATTCATAGAAGATTTCTTTTTGCATTTAGTCCTTCCCTTATTATAATTTTGATATATAAATTTTATATTTGTTTTAAAAGACAAAATAAAATAGCAAAAACAAACATAGAGGCACACTACATTAATTAGTAAAAGATGAAATTCTCCTTCTCATTAAGTAGAATGCAATTAAGTAAATTCAAATTTATAAATAAGGAAACTTAATTAGAAGGAAATAACTAAAGAATTAAAGTGCAACGATTGGTATTTAAATTCTACCATTATATAATTTAAATATTAATATTAATATTTAATTAAATAAATCAGATTTTAATTTAGTGGAGAGCCAAAATGACAATATTAATATTTTTACAATTAAAAGTTTGTTAGAATATATTTTACATTTTTTTGTTAAAAATATAATAGGAGCAATATTTGGTCAAAGGTTAAAAGATCTTCTAACTTTTCTTAAGCATTTTGGTGTATCATTTTTTTCACTTTGGGATTTGGATCTCATGATAATTTTAATGAAAATTGTCTAAAAAATATAGATTTTATCCACAAGCACAAGTAAGAATAATTCTTTACAAATATTTAAAATTTAAGGTGCAAAAAATGTAATTATTAATAATTTGAAATTAGAATATCTTGTAGGCATTAATTGTCTGTTTTTACATGCCTTATACACTATTTTTATGATTCTATTTGTTTTATTTTCTATAGCAAAAAATACAACATTCAATCAAATACATTCTTAAAACGAAATTACAAATACAAAGAAAAAAATATCATATATAGGAGCAAGTTTAGCATAAGGCTATCAACAAAAATAGAAAAATACTAAGACAATCTTTTCCCTGCTTTTTATTGATAATGCAAATTAAAACAAAGTTATAGTAATAAACATTCAACCTTTGACCATACAAAAAGAGTTAAAAGTTTTGGAAGACAAGTTAACGGAAGTGACATTCATGATTCAACTATATAAATGGAGGGTCTTATCATAGTTCTAATCTCGGCAAATAAGTAAAAAAATAAATACATCAAGCTCCGATATTCTAGTAATTGAAGTGTTATTCATCCCTATAATCACATAATGCCTTGTAATCTTGACACAAATCCTCTTGTCTTGAAATTTTCTTCACTGGATTAAAGCTTCTCTAGTCTTCCACATTGTATCACATAGAAATCTTTCTATGTACTATTGAAAGACATGTATTTATAGGAAAAAATATAGCTTTGAAATATGAAGATTCAGTTACAAAGTTGAAAGGTCAAGTATTACAAAAATTAAACACAAATATTAATTAAGAATATAAATTAATTTGAAAGATAAAACACATACATGTAAAGGGATAGTTGATATTTTTATTTTTTTTACTATTTAATATACTCACATTTTTACCAATTAAAAATATTATAGAAATTCTACTATTTACTATTTAATTAATTAAATATTTTAATAACATTTGGATTTAGCATAAGGGTAGAATGATAATTCAATTTTTTTACGTTGAAATTTTCTTCACTTGATTAAAGCTTCTCTAATCTTCCACACACAAAAATTGTATCACATATATATAAATCTTTCTATGAAAATACTAATTGAAAGATTTGTATGTATAGGAAAAAATATAGCTTTGGAATATAAAGATTCACTTACAAAGTTGAAAGGTCAAGTATTACAACAAATTAAAGACAAATATTAATTAAAAACATAAATTAATTTGGAAGATGAAACACATACATGTATCTGTTTAAAGGGATAACTTTTATTTTTAATTTACTCACATGTATACCAACTAAAAATATTATAGAAATTCTACTATTTACTGTTTAATTAATTAAGTATTCTAATAACATTGGATTTAGCATAAGGGTAAAATGATAATTCAACTTTTTTACTTTGAAGTTTCTCACTTATAATAATATAATATAAATATATGATTTGTATTGGGAACCTACTGACCTGATTTTGTCACGTAGGACGAACTTAAAGGAACATGCTCCTTGTCTGGAGTTTTTCCATTCTGATGGTTCGAACCTGAAATAATGTCTTCACTTATGTTAACATACATGTAAATTTTGTTATATGTATAATTATAGAAATATGGCTAGCATGTACTAGACACATATACTATATATATATATATATCTGCAAATTGATCAGGTAATTCATTTGATACTATGATTCTTTGAACTTGTAGCTATATCGAGAAAGCAGGATGGGATTCTAAACTGGTAAATGAATCATTCCCCTGGATTGAGAAGCAAATTGTTCATAGACCAATCTTAGCACCATGGCAAAAAGCAGTAAGCGACGGTCTACTAGAAGTTGGTATATCACCTTATAATGGATTCACTTATGATCATATATATGGAACCAAGTTTGGAGGAACCCTTTTCGATAGATTTGGTCATCGAAAGACTGCAGCTGATCTTCTCACCTCAGCCAACCCTGAGAAGCTTGATGTTTTGGTGCACGCGATAGTTCAAAAGATCAAGTTTGACACATCAGGTATATATTACATGTCAAATAAATCTAGTACTAGAAAAGATCTGTCTTCAATGAGATGATGATAGTATTTTAAAATTGTGTAGGAAAGAAGCCAAGAGCAGTAGGAGTCATTTTCAAAGATAAAAAGGGGAACCAACACACGGCATTTCTTTCAAAGAGAAAGGGAAGTGAAATTATAGTGTCATCTGGTGCAATTGGAAGTCCTCAGATTCTGTTGCTCAGTGGAATAGGACCAAAGGCTGAATTGGAAAAATTGAACATCTCGGTGGTGCTTGACAATAAGTTCGTCGGGAAAGGCATGTCTGACAACCCCATGAACACCATATTTGTTCCCACAAATAGGCCTGTTCAGCAGTCACTTATTCAGACTGTAGGAATTACCAAGATGGGGGTCTATATTGAAGCTAGTAGTGGATATGGACAAACTGAAGATAGCATTCATTGCCATCATGGTATCGTTTCAGCTGAGGTTAGTCGTATTACTTCAACTTCTTTCAAACATAGTTGAGATTTTAACAATCAGTTCTTGTCTTATTGGAAAGAAACTCTTTAGTTTACGTACTAAAACCCGAGAACTTTCAGTTGCCAGAGCCAGAAAAAGGCTTCTGGGACACTTAAACTCCTTGTGATCACTTCATAATGAAAGTCACTAAACCTTCAAGCCTTTTTCTGACATATGTTGCATGTTTGGGCATAACCAGATAGGGCAACTCTCCGCAATTCCTCCAAAGCAGAGAACACTGGAAGCAATTGAAGTCTACAAAAGAAATAAGAAACATGTTCCACAAGAAGCATTCAAGGGAGGTTTCATAATAGAAAAGATCGCGACACCTTTATCAACAGGGCATATTAGCTTGAAGAGCACCGAGATTGATGACAGTCCTTCCGTCACCTTCAACTACTTCAGCCATCCACGCGACCTGAAGAGATGTGTAGATGGCATACGCATCATGGAGAAGATTGTGAAATCAAAACATTTCACCACTTACGCACAGTGTGACAAGGAGACACTGGACAAGTTGCTAAACATGAGTGTCCAAGCTAACATTAATCTTATACCGAAACACACTAATGATACAGAGTCACTTGAACAGTTCTGCAAAGACACTGTGATCACAATATGGCACTATCACGGCGGTTGCCAAGTAGGCAAGGTAGTAAACCCTGATTACAGGGTTATTAATGTCAACAGGCTCCGGGTCATTGATGGTTCGACATTCAACGAGTCACCAGGCACCAATCCTCAAGCCACAGTGTTGATGATGGGCAGGTAAAATTATACTCCGTCTATTTCAATTTGTTTGTTTGATTTCGACTTGACACATAGTTTAAGAAAGTAAATGAGACTTTTGAATCTTGTGGTTTTAAACTAAAAATATGTACAAAGATTGGCTAGTTAATTATACTAATTAATTTCTTTGATGCAGGTACATGGGAGTAAAGATTTTAAGAGAAAGATTAGGAAGAGCAGCTGGTTTGTAAAGATTCTACTGGTTCGTTTTTTAGTTCCTTTTTTTGCAGGGCAAACTGAGACGCAAGTGTGAGTTTTGTCATTTTAATTCTTTGGCAAGCAGTTATGTGTAGTCTGCAGAGTTTGGCTTGCCACAAAAAAGAGTAATTGGGATGGAAAAAACTTACCCACACCTGGTGTAACTACATTATTTTGTCATGGTTACGTGATAGATTGAGTTGATAATATACGTCATTTAACCATGATTAGTGATAAAGTGCACATGAAAGAGACATGTCATGTGTTTATTCATTTAATGTAAACATCCGGTGCAAGTAAGTTTTTTTATGCTGTTATAAGTAATATTGTTCATTCTTTATTTCAATGTAAAACTTGTTTCTTGAATTTAATCCAATTTGAATAACGTGTACTTAATAGTTCCATAGTGAGTTTTGTCAAGGTATGATGTCTAAATTAAACATCAAATTAAAGTTACCATTACTTTTGTTTTACGAAAGCAGGCAAACAAAGTGCACGCACGCATTGTTTAATTTTTTTTTGGTGTCCGAAATCGTGAAACTATTAAATTCGAATTTGCTTGGAAAGTCTCCCAACAAATGCTAACCATGAATAAATAGACGAAACTCTCTTTATCATCCTTTTTCTTCTTATGAACCACCGGAGCACTATAAATACTTCTTTGTTCTTCCACCGCTCCACCACAAACCTTGTTACTACTCCCAAATCATTTAGCAATTTTCCGACGAGGATATGCTTCACTGTTGTTGGTCGAGTTCAAGGCGTTTCATTTCCCAGACTCCATTTTCAATTTCTACTAGACTCTGTTTCCCATCAATTTTCACCCATTTTCACTGTCACTCTTCAGCCAATCATTCCAATAAAACCCAAAATGAGCTTCTTGACTTCTTGGACCATTTACTTCAACAATGCGGCCTTAATCTTCAACAACTGAAGCAAATTCATGAAAAGATCATAGTCACTGGATCATCAAATTCTTCTTTTATAGCTGCCAGACTCATATCCGTTTACTCTAAATTTGGGCTTGTCAATGAAGCTCAAAAAGTATTTGAAACCTGCCCAACTGATTGCTTCACGAATTTGCTGTTGTGGAATTCGATCTTGAGGGCTAATGTATCTCATGGAAAATGTGAAGAAGCTGTAAAGCTTTATGTTAAGATGCGTGAATATGGTAATTTGGCTGATAGATTTGGTTTTCCGTTGATTATTCGGGCATGTGGTATGTTCGGCGATCATAATCTCTGCAGTGTAGTGCATAGTCACGCTATACAAATGGGTTTTAGAGATCATCTTTATGTTGGAAATGAATTGATGAACATGTATGGGAAGATTGGGCGTATGGATATTGCAAGTCAAATGTTTGATAGAATGTCTGTGAGAACTCAAGTATCATGGAACATTATAGTTTCAGGTTTTGCGCAGAACTTTGACAGTGATGCTGCTTACAAGACGTTTCTGCTGATGGAACCTCAGGGGTTTGAACCAAATTCTGTCACTTGGACATCATTGTTATCTAGTTTTGCTAGGTGTAGACGTTATCAGGATACGTGGAAACTTTATGTTTTGATGAGAAAGAAACAAGTTGAAGCTACTGCTGAGGCTATTGCTGTAGTAATATCAGTTTGCGTTGGTGACAATGGGATTGATAAGTGTGAGACGGTGCATGGATACGTTATCAAGGGGGGCTTTGAAAATAATTCTATTGTGATAAACTCATTAATGTGTACGTATGGGAAATGTGGTGCTGTTAGACAGGCTGAATGTCTGTTTTCCGGATTGCAATTAAAAACTATAGTGAGCTGGAATTCTTTAATATCTTGTTATGCAGAATCAGGTTTATGTAACGAGGCCTATTCGTTATTTTTGCAGTTACAAGAGTTAGATGATCCAAAGATGAAACCTAATGTCATAAGTTGGAGTGCTGTTATAGGGGCATTTGCTATGGCAGAGAGGCATGAGGAGTCCTTAGAAATCTTTCGAAGTATGCAAGTTGCTAGAGTACTGGCCAATGATGTTACGATTTCAAGTGTTTTATCAGTTTGTGCTGAGCTTTCAAACTTCTATCTTGGTATGGAAATCCATGGTTATTCAATAAGATATCTAATGGATAAAAGTACTTTGGTGGGAAATGGGTTAGTTAATATGTACATGAAGTGCGGTAGTTTGTGGAAAGGAAACATAGTATTTGAGGGAGTTGGAAAAAAAGATTTGATTTCATGGAATACAATGATTTCTGGATTTGGAATGCATGGACTTGGTGCTACTGCCCTAGAAACATTTGAACAGATGACTAGCACAGGAACTAAGCCAGATGGAATTACTTTTGTTGCAGTTCTTTCTGCATGTAGTCATGCAGGCCTTGTTGATGAGGGGTATACAGTTTTTGATCAGATGAAGAAAGTGTTTGGAGTCGAACCACAAATGGAGCACTATGCTTGTATGGTAGATCTTCTTGGTCGTGCTGGTCTATTGCAGCGGGCTAGTGAAATGGTGCAAATCATGCCAATGAGGCCCAATGCTTGTGTCTGGGGAGCACTACTCAACTCTTGTAAAATGCATAAAAACACAGAAGTCGCAGAAGAAACCGCTGCTCAGATTTTCAACCTTGAGTCTGGGATGACGGGAAGCTACATGTTGCTCTGTAATTTATATGCTGTAAATGGAAGGTGGAAGGATTCAGCAAATGTGAGGATATCAGCGAAGACACAGGGTTTGAAAAAAGCTCCAGGACAAAGTTGGATTGAGGTGAAAAAGAAGGTTTACATGTTCTTAGCAGGACAACCTATGGATTCAGAGATGGAAGATGTTCATATAATGCTTAATATTCTAAGCCATCATATGGCTAAAGAAGGATGCACACCTCGAAAGAGCTTTGCTTTACAATGTGCAGAAGAACAAGAAGATTATCTGTATTAAGCATCATGAAGAATTCTGTGTCTATTCTCGATGCAGGAAAACTACAATCTAATCTTTAAACCCACCCAAAGCCATTGTTCGATAACCAAAGATCTGCCCTTTGCAAGAACTTATGTGAACAGCTGACCTCCCTTCCAGTCTTTCTATATATTTATTTCAGGGGTCAGCTATATGAGTTTGCTGTGCAGTCACTTCATCACTCAGGTATGTACTATTTCATTTTCCAGGAAAAGGTGTCACATCTTGATATATTTTTACTCGGTATATGATTTCATTCTATCTTTTGAAGTCTCAATGCATGTTTAAAAGTACTAATTGTTCGCTAATCTGCTGAACTGGGTCGAAATCTGATGAGCCTGCATGATGGATAGGATTCAGTTGTATTTTCGTACAATAAGGAAGGAATAATTAGATTGAACCAATACATTTATGTTTTACTCTTAGATTTATCCAGGCTTGAGTTGCCATGTCGCAAGGAGCTATGAGCTTGTGGAAACTGGGAAATTAAAGAAGCAATTGAAAGTTGGGTAGGAAATCACTGATCCCTTAGTTTCTTAAACAAATTGGTGATTGGATGCCATTGAAACTGAAGTCTCATTTATGTAAGCTGCACATGAAGGAAATGATGTTTTTAACAAAGTGGAAATGGTGAAGACGATGAAAGTTTGGCCTTCTATGTACCTCGGTGTTGTCATAGACAAGGAAGAATGTGAAATGTATATAAAGTGCATTCAGCCTTTCTCCTAGTTTAACAATTTGTATCAAGAAATCGGAATAGTGAATGTACACCATCACTATAATTTGACTCATGAAATCACAAGTAAACTAATTTGTTTACTGCCTATTTATTACTTGCATCACATATCTAAATTTCTGAACCTTCATTTTTCCAGTAAAACCATCTGGAGCTTTACGATGAGTGAAGGCCTCAGCAGACGAATGGAAGCTAGTTTTGCATACCAATTGATTGTTGGCACTTAAAAGAAAGGAAGAACAAAACATGCACCACTCGTTGGGAGTTCGGGCAAAATTGAGGAGTCAGTTGACTCTCAGAGATTATTTCCTCTTGTGGATCTCTCTACTACAAAAATTCAGCGAAGTACAGTTTGGGAAGGTAACCAATGTAGCAGCACCTGTAGATCTTGATCTTCAAGCATGTGTAAGGGCTCACCCTCTTCCTTCAATTGGAGTCTGTTCCCTTGTTGAATAGCTTCATCATTGTGAAATGAACAAGTGTCAAAACTAGAGTCCAAAATATAGAAAGAAATAAAGAAAAAGAAGAGAAATTCTTACAATGCTATAACCTGTTCTCTTTTTATTTATTATTTTTTCTTCTTAATGGCTATACTATGGTTCATTGGGGAATAGATATTGAGTGGTTTTGAGATTGAAATAGTTCTTTTTAAAAAAAAAAAAAACTAAAAAGCGAGATCAGGATTTAAGTTCTATGTTCTATAATTATGAATAACATTTCTCTATGTATTGTAGACTATATTACAATGTGCAAAACTACTCTGGAAATGCCATAAAAGATCCATCCAAAAAAAAACAAATCTTTGTTGAAGGCTTGAAGCCATAATCTATTCATTTTCCCTAAAACTGAGCAAACTATGTTAATAGACAAATGAAAATCAATGACTTATATGTTGTTTAAATTCATCATTCAATCTTTGAAATCCTTTAAATGCTTAAACTCAACATCACACAATTAAATAATCAAAGAATAGAAATTGAACAAAGGGCAATACCGACCTGTGTTGATCAAATGTTTGATCATGTTCGAAACTTCCGAAACCTGAAATCCCCTCAAGAATAGGGTCCTTAATATTGTCAAATTGGTCATTAACAGATAGTTGCTTCATCATAGAATTGGGAGCCGATGTAGACGTGGATTCTTGTTCATGCAAGCTCCAAGGAAAGTTAATATCTGTTAAATCTAATTGCCCATCTTGAATTCCATCATATTGCTGATCATCTTCTGCTTGCTGATCACAACGAGGATGATTATAGAAACTATCATGAGGATTGTACTGATCTATTGGCTGTTGATCATACGAAGATGCATTATTATTATTATTCACCAAAGCATCTGCTTGATTCACAACGCCATCACAATTATTATCATTAAATGATTCCTCAGTTGCATGATGATCTGTTAATATCTGTTGTTGTTCAGATGCAGCAGCAGCAGCAACAGCCTGTGCCCTGCAGTATGCGAGTTGATGAATAACAATATCCAGCTCCGCTTTGCAATAATCAATGTGACGTTGCAGGTCTCTGATTATACGGTAACAACCACCAACAGGATCATTAGCACGAACATCAGATTGAAAGATGATGGTCCGCATTGCCTCATCTTTGAACGGTTGATCAAGGTGGCGAATGATCTTGGTAATGTTGCTGACCCCAAACAATTTATGAGCATTGAGGAACTGTCGTTGACGATCATGTGGAAAATAAGGGGCAAGAACACAGTCAGGGGCACATTTTCGACGTTGGTATTTACATGCAGCGCAAGCTTGGCCTGCACCACTGACACGAAGGAGGACATTCTTATCATTGTTATTATGAACACGTTTAGTGTACTTATTATGATTGAGATTGTTGTGATCAGTGATGAATGTATGAGGAGTTTGGTGAATAGGAATGTTGTTGTTATTATTATTATTATTATTATTATTGGGGGTGGCAAAGGAGGTCATTTGATTCTGCATATTGTAATTATAAGTTTGTCAAAGGGAGATTTGTGCTGCGTCTCCGGCGGGGATGGAGAAAAAGGATTAGATTAGAGAGTTTTCTTTTGAGTTCCCTCCCTTTTTTTCTCCTTGCCAATATAACTAACTCTCACAAAATGAGAGGCTCATAAATCTTCTTTATATTTCACATAATAATAATAATAATAATTAATAATGTCATTTAATCAGAGTAAAATTTATCCGTGTATACACCAATTCAATACATGCATGCCATGTGTTTGAATTTATAGTTTACTTTACTAACCTTAATTAATTAATATGTGTTTTACTTTATTAAATCATGTGATCAAGAAAATTGCATTAGTTTGATGTATAGATAAGTGTGGTAAGTTTTTACCACTTAATCTCTCTCTCTCGCTTACTTATTCTCTAATAATAAAGGTTAAAATGTGTTTTGTTTTGTTTTGTTTCATTTTAATGTTTCGGTAAAAGCTCATGTTTTTGTAAATTTCTCACGTGGCATTCAGCATGTACATAGTGATAAACTGATGATATGATACAATGTGAAACTGATGATATGATACCGTAGAGTAGTAAGTACTTCCTCATCTATAACCAAGAAGTTTCAGGTTTGAGTTTTTTTGGGTATGAAGTTGTCTTTTTAATCAAGAGGTCTCGGGTTCGAGTTCTCTTAAGTATGGAGTTGTCTTTGAACCTAGAGGTTTTGGGTTCGAGTCCGCTTGGGTACGGAATCGCCTTTGTTAGGGAGAGTTTTACTCCCTAATGTGGGATTTCTCTGCGCGAATCTGGATTTAGTCGGGCTCTAGTGTGGTGTTAAAAAATTATACTTTATTTTTTAATTTGTTTGTTTTACTTTTTTTTTGTTTGTTTCGAAACATTAAAAAATGTTTCTTTCTTTTTTGTCAATTTTTAAGTTTAACTATCCACATGACATATTTAAGACCATAAGATTAAAAAATATTTTGGTATATATATCTAACTTAGTTTAAACCATAAGATTAAAAAATCTCTTACTTTTTAAAATTTTGTATCAAGTCAAAATTAAACAAAAAAAAAAAACAAATGAAGTACTATTTATAGGAAAAGTAAATATTTTTTATTAAAAATAAAGAAATAATTTTGTATATAAAAATAATTTTAAATATACTAAGCATTATGCATCTTATAAAATTAGAAGAACAGACTTTAAATATAAAATATAATTAAAAGAGTAAAATGGTAAGTTTAATATCATTCAGTTTTGTCAGCTCTTTAGCCTCCTTCTGTAGATTCGAAGTCTAACAGAACCGTCGCCGGCGATTCCTAACAACGAATCCGCATATCTCCATCTCATTGATCTTCTACTGACGAAATGAGCTTCTATTGATGAATTTTTCGTTGGCAAATCGAATGCATCTAGGTTCAATAACTTTGTCAATAAACAATTTTTTTAAAGCCAAGCAAAGAGTATGCAAGATTGTTCGTGAGGTTTGTAGCCTGTTCTTCTAACATATCAATAAGTTCACCATTAAAAAGAAGAAATCTATCCCACATCTTAAAAACTATCTAAGATGCGTCCTTGTTGCTATCAAAAAGCACATTGTACATTTCTCGTATTCTTTTCTTTGATGAATTGGAAGATTCTATCAATCAATAATTTACCATCCCCTTTTTATCATCAAATTAACCCTTTTTATATATACATGAAGTTGGTATTTTTTTATTCAAAAAGTTAGAAACATATGTCATGTCAACAATCTTCTAAAGCTGTGCCTGCGGTTAGACAAATGCGTATGTCACCATTCGATGTGTCTGCGAATAGACAAATGCGTATGTCACCATTCGTTGGATAAAATATCTCTTGATTATTGTTGTGAACTTTTACCATGTAATTTTGTTTTTGCTTCTTACATTTGACTTCAAGAACTTGACATACTAACTGGTTACTGTATAAGACAGTCTAGTCTTTGTGGTCTACTTTTGAGACTTGTACTCGTTTTGTTAGTAGCTCTGTACTAGCGACTTTCACATACTAACTGGTTACTATATAAGACAGTCTAGTCTTTGTGGTCCACTTTTGGGACTTGTACTCATTTTGTTAGTAGCTCTGTACTAGCGACTTTCAGGTTCTGGGAAGGATCTTTATTTGTATATATGTTTTGGTTTGCTTCCACCTGTTTATATTGTTTTCTTAAATTTTGCCTATTCTTGTTTAGTTTCTGCCCTTTTACCCACTACTAGTCGTTCTGGGTTTCGGGTTGGCTTACATGGTGGGATATAGTAGGTGTCATCATGACTCGAGAAATCAAGTCGTGACAATATCAAGTTCTCAACTAAATTTGTCTTTCATTAATAAATAGACATGGTAAATGTGATGTATAGACTTGACACCGCG